CTTGCTATTCCAAATATGGAATTTTAAACATGGGATAATCAATGTAATGGAATTGTAATAATAATAAACTCGATCTTTTGAAAAAATATAGAGAGGCAAAATAACACATTTCAGCCTTAAAGATTTCTCTCCACTAAGTTTAATCTTACTAAGTAAGTAGAGTCTAGAGTCCATCCTACTCGCCAACTTGCATCGGTTTTTTTGCTGTATTTCGTTTTTGCCACTTTAGGCAATTGCCCGTATTTTTTCCTACTTTCTTCATATTTATTACGAAGATATCATTATTGTTGATGAAAACCTTTTTTTGGCTATAATTCTTTCAAATATGTTTTTAAAAATTTAAGTGAAAAAAGAGGTCACTAAAAAGGTTGTCATCGACAACCATTACTACTACCTCCTCCATTTATAAAACAATTTAATTTACCGCTCAAAAGGTCAATTATAAAACCTCCATTTATAAAACAATTTAATTTACCGCTCAAAAGGTAAACCAATGGAAAACAATTCAGCAGATACATCTGACCATGAAAATAAGTCGATTCAAACTGAAGTTCAGAAAGTACCGGAAACTACTGGCAAGTTTTATTATATTTTCTTAGTATTTTATTATTGCCTTATGGCTTTAAATCTACTGTTTGTACATTTTATATATGTGCCGAGTATCAAGGAGTGTTATATAAGGTTCGGAGTTCGATTTCCTGTCAGGTCAATATAGAATATTAACTTTTCTGTATTGTCTCATGTCTGGATGTTGTGATACCGTAGTTGTTTCAGAAGTCTGTAATATAAAAATATATGATCTACGTGATTCTGTATACATTTAGATATTTAGATAATAAATAATGTAATGTATAGGTTTCATAACATCTCTAAAGTTCATTTTCTCAAGAATCTCTCAAGTTCTTTTTAATTATGTACTAAACTGATTTCACCATTTTAGTTTCAACTCATACGTCGATTCAAGAGGAAATTGACAAAAGTGAACCCAGTATTGGAGGTAAATCACTAAATTTATTAAAAAAAAACCTTCAGTGTCCATAACTGAATAGTTTTAAAATAAAGTTATTACTATTTTACGAATCCCAATACATAAAGACTGCTTACTAACGCATACGTACTACCTTAAATACTTAGTTCTGAAATTTTTCAGAAAATGGATACCTATATTAAACGCTTACTGTTTGCCCGCGCGACAATTTACCTTCGTAAATTATAGGTCACCTGTCTATGATGTAGCTTTCCATGCCTAGACGAAACAATTATATATTTTACATTACATTATATGTTTCCATGGTGTGCTCAGTAGATGTAGAGTGCTCTTGTACTTTTTTGTCACAAACTCTCCGTCTATCATATATAGTTTTCTGACTTAGTGCCATAGAACTTTTACGATCGAAACTTATGACATTACGAATCTCGATTCTGTCCACAGATACATGCCGCTGTTGTAATGCTGATAGCTTGTCGTTGAGCTCCGAGTCGTTAGGTCAGCAAATACCTCTTATGTTATAATGCTGTACTACACTGATTTCCAACCGATGGTCCGAGAGTCACTGGTGTTCCCAAGTGGTCCTCGAAGCATCGCAAAATTATTACTGTATAAAAATTATCTATTTGATTATGTATAAAACATATATTAATACTTTATTTATCTAGACTTACTTATAGCATATTAAACCAAATGAGTCAGTGGGTTCATGGCTTGTTGGGGATTACCTGGGGAAAAACATGATAGTCCAACCTATTCCAGATAGTCCTTGATAAACCTGTCAGATTGCAAATAGGAATGATGACAGGGTAAAAAAAAGAAATTCTATTTAGTCCGAACGAGCTATTCAAAAATACAAAAAAATGGTTTCATTTTTTAGACATAGAAGTCGAACGTGACTTAGGTCGTATACGGCAAGGAGATTTTAAACGAGTCAATCAAAATAGAGCTGGGGTAATTATAAATTAAAATTTTGAATGGGAATGTATAGTTGTAAATATTTGGCCATACACCAAATGTTTTGTAAGCTTCCCGCTGGAATACCACCGAATAATTGGCATAAATATTCGACTGGTGTGCGGCGGAATAAATTGTATTAAATATAATATGCATTTTTTTTTTCTTCAATTTAACACAAACTGGATTAGATTATTCGAAGTTGAGGAGTGGCGGTTCGCTACGTCACGACTAGGTAAAAAATGTACAACTCATGTATCACCGTAATTTATCGATTACGCAACAAATAAATAAAAATTATTGATATTCTTCAATAATGTACCTGACCGATAAAGAAACAAAAATTAGTCTTCATCCCTATTTATGACTGAGTAGATTTCATATTTAATTGTTTAATGGTAGGTATCTGTATCATACAGAATTAAAATACCTATTGTTTTTCATATCAAGACTGTTGTTGTGAAGACCGTGACGATGAAACGCAATTGAAGAAATCAAAAAGCGAGTCAACAGGTACCTATAAAAAAGTTTCATTTTATTGCCAATAAGTATTCTGTGCATTAAGGCTCGATGCATATTTTTCCCGCGTAAATTATGTAACCCGAGTATGATGTAGCTATCTGTAGGTAAAAGAATTTTTAAATTTTCTCTATATAAGTAATATTAGTATGATATTGAGGCATTCAAACTTACACGCTCGACCGATAAATCCGTCGAGGTGCTTGACCGATCTTGGGACAATTAACTATGCACCGAACTTTTCTTAATCTTCATCACTTCTGTAGAAGGAGGCGGAAGAATTAAATTTTATAATTATTTGTATGAACACGTATAAATTTCCGCACACCACGCACGGAAACGTCAAAATTTTAATGTCACCTGAGGCCTTACGCTGTATCTCTTAAATCGAAATTTTGCAAATATTTGAAAAGCTTTTAGATATAATCAGATAAGATACAAACACGCAAAATAATTATAATATTAATAACTTTATTTCAGTTACAGCGGAAAAACGCAGTGAGACGGTTGATAAAATCTCTAAAGGAACTGGTAATACTTCCCTTATACATTTATCTATTTTAAAATGAAACGTCTTACTTAAAGAATATTCTTTATTTCAGTTGCAGCGGAAAAACGCAGTGAGACGGTTGATAAACACTCTAAAGGAACTGGTAATACTTCTCTTATACATTTATATATTTTAAGATGACACGTCTTACTCTTACTTTTTAATAAGTATGTACTTAAAATATTAAGTTTTGTTAAAATAATAAAAATATACTAAACTGCCCTGCGATTCTCTAAAAATTCCAAACCTGAATTGAATTGGTAATGACGTTTCGTGGCATAAGTGAAGTAAGTTTAAAAATTATATAGGAATAGAATATCTGAGACACGTATATTCAATCAATTTTGTTTTGTATTTTTATACAAAAAATGGATACAATAGAATTTTTAAACTAAATTACGTGGATTCGGACAGTTGAGTGAATTCGAATTCGGGTCTGGATTTTTACAGAATCGCAGGGCTCTTTGTGTACGTACTTATTGTCTGTGTTTATAGTTTTCTTTTACGAAAAAGGTACTTATTTTATTTTTATAAACAACAAAATAAAATTATTTTTTCCATGAATTAAATAAAATTTTATTTAAAACTTTTTGAATATATTATTGTTTTATTTCCAGCCACTATGGAAAAACACAGTGACAAACTTTTTAAGACGACTGGTACCGGTAAGGTTTCAGTTAAATTTAATTTTAAAAACCATAATATATATATTTTTGTTACTTAAATTTAAATTGACAATTCAACGAGCAATAATTTCAAAAATAAAATCGTTGATATTTTTCTAGCTTAATGACTAAACGCAGACAGTCTTATAAAAAGAGGACAATCTTTAGTACAACATTTATGGTCAGTTGCACAAACGTCCATTACGGTTTAATGTCGCCTTTAAACTTTGATGAATGATCATTGTGCAACTTTAACCATTATCCGACCATAGTAAAATTGAAAAATCTCAGCATTGATGGAGAATGCTTAAAATATTCACCATCCCCAGGAATCTCGAGATAGAACCTGGGACAAGAAGATTTTTCAAACATTATTCATTAAATATTATCAATGGAGCACTGTGAATGTAAAATTGATCAAATATAATAATCAATGTTATTTGCTTTAGCCGGCCAATGTACACAGGGCTGTACATTACTAGTACTACACTACAGTACTACATGTATGATTACCACAATATGTCACTCTTCCACAAAATATTTTGCATTCTACCTTAAAAATTTAAAACAATATGCTACACAATGCTTACTTACACATTGCTAAATAATAAATAATATGTAGGTAAGCCTTTTAAAAGATTTATTAGAGTTGTAAGTTGAATAACAAGATGATAGCGTAGTGATATTATTTTTCTGTAACTATAATATTACATTACCATTATTTAAGCAAATTATTTATCAGAAGACCGGATTTTTCGTTTTGAACGTAGGTACAGAATGAAAGTTCTTAACTAATATTTTTTAAACGTTATTTTCAGCCTCCTCTCAAAGGAGTTTCTTAAAAATCAGCATACGTCCTAAAAACAGTAAGTATATTTGTGTTTGATATTATTTATATTTATTTATTTACTCTTTATTGTTTATAATTTCTTTTTTATCAAAAGCCTTAATGAACTGACTGAATGCCTAAGGCATTCCCTTCCAGTCAACTCGTTCTTTGTTTCAAATCTTTCTTTCAACTATATTTCAACTTTTATTATTATTTTAGAGGACGATAATAAAATTAATGACATTATTATACTAATTAAATTATTATGCTGGTTCCTATTTATTATTTAATATTAATAGATTGAAGAATATATTGATATAAGTACCAATCAAATCAAGATTTTTTTCTTTGTCAAATTTTGACTGATTCCTTTTTAATTTAATTTTTTAACAAAAAGGCAATGATTAATAAAAATTATACCTATCATTGCTATAGGGACTATCTCATAATCCATGGATTGTTTTAATTATACATTTATAATTTGACATAGAAATGTTTTCTTCAGCAGCCACTGTAGGAACCGAAGATTTAACTCCTAAGAAACCTGGTAAAGCTACTTCTATTTTAATTTGTCGCAATATTTAAATGCTCTAAAATAATCATTTTGCAAATATTTTTGTTTTATTTTATAGATTTTTGTGATGCATGTTGCGGTCCTAAAGTGAAGAATTGGACAGACAAACATAGTAAGTATGAAAAATGACCTATATTTCATAAATGTAATACAAAGCTTCTAAAATTTTGACTGTAGAGTGGGTCTGCTATTTTCTTATTTTCTTTTTCTTAAATTAAGAATCTGTCAAAAATATATAAATAAAAAAATATTAGGTACCTACTAGATTTTCCCGAAACTTTCTTCCGAGTAAATTATAGCCTATGTCATCTGTTTATTATATAGCGTATCGTAGGTGTAAGAATTTGTAAATGGATCCAGTAGCTGCTGAGCCTACACGATGCAAATAAAAAAATCAAATCTTTCCTCTACAGTACTTATTTCTACTTATAGAACAATAAAACATGAATCTTGCACATTAAAAATCTCGTTTAAAATAAAAACGAACGCGAAAAAAATCTTTAATTAGCTGGCATGGCGTTATATCTGGGGTATGGAGGGTTTCCCGCCAAGTCAATCAAAAAATAAAAAGGGCACGGCCGTACCATTATAAACGATTATAAAAGTAAATAATTGGTTTCTCTTTAAAGATAACTGTGACGCATGCTGTAATACATCAGGGGCTTTAGTAAAAGGTTAGTTTCTATCATCTTACCAAGTTTTTCAATTCGCCATTTACAGTAAATTATAAATAGTATGATTGCATCTCCCTTTTTCTTGGAAAAACTTGCAGTAGATGCATTTTTATGTTAGTTATTAGAAAAAAAAGGAAAATGTCCAGTAAAACTAGTACCCGCAGTATACTTATTTTACACCCATCTTTTCTAAAGTATGTAATCCGAAGAAAATAAATTAAATAAATATGATTTCAAAATTCTTGAACGCAAATATATAATTCTGATAATACCTACCTAATCGTAAGTGGTAACCATCAAGCCATTACATTAATTTAATACTTATAGTATAATAATTAATTTTCTTAATAAGTATTCATATATTTATTGGTAAAATAATATATTTATACTTTTAGTTTAATAATTTGGTACCTTTATAAGTACCTCCTTATTTGCTTTTAGATCTAAAATGTTTTTCTGTTTGTTTTTAGTGACAAATGAGACAACACAGTCTATGATGGTAAACACAGATGCACAAACTCCGTCAAATAACAAAATAGCAAAAAGTTAGCATGTATTGTTTTATCGTATAAAAATATATTCATGAGCTGTCTCAAGACACGTGATTTACTTAAAAATTTCATTCCGTTTACAGAATTAGAAAACACAAAGGCAATTAATACTGTAAGAGTTAGAGAAGAAGCGAGTAAGTTTGTAATATTTTTAAATAGCCACGGAATGATTTTATCTGATATTATTCTAAAATATTGACCTTTCAGCCATATATTCACTTTCAGTCAGTATATTGCGATCATGATTTAAATTTAAAAAATCAATATTTTTGTAACAGTTTGTGAGCCGCAACTATGCCGCAGGTTGTAGACCCCTGACCTTAGGGAAGCTATATCATACGCACATTGACTGCAGAAAAACAACTAATGAATTATATGATAAAGATGACAATTATATAAATGTTATTAATCTATCTATTTGTAATCAACACTTTCAGTTCAAGCAGGTGACGACGCTGTAAAAAATAAATGCAGTAAAGAAGGTATTTTTCGTAAAATATAATTTAATTAGTAATAATTATCATATAAAAGGATTGCTTTATAATATGTCCGAGTATAATAATTACGCTGTCAATGCAAATCATTCTATTTGCATAATTTTGCATTCACAATGCTTTATTGATATTTAAAGACAAAATTTATCATGTATCGGCAGTTCGATCTAAAATTTATTTTCTTTATTTCAGAGAAGGGTCAAAATAATTGTATTATTTGTACTTGTGCTAAACATTGCCCAAACTACAGTAAGTATTTTTTGTGAGAGTAATTTCATATCTAATGAGTATTACTACGTGACACATTGATCATTTTAATTATAAGGATTATATTAGATATTATGTAGCTATTTTAAAATTTCTTGACCTGTTTAAAAACAAAACTACCAAACAAAACAAATCAATTCACAACCAATATTTTACTCCTCCATTTAAATTACATGCCAGGTACCAACAACGGAGCATGGTAGAGTAACTGCCCCATAATCTTTACATAGCCCCCTCGGCAAGACCCTGGATAGACCCGTGTTATATTATAAGCAATATTTCCAGGAAAACTTCGGGGCGAAATCTTCAAACACTCTCCATGTAATTTTAGAAGTGAAACAACACTAAGTTCAATATCAAGAAGCCATGCTACAACATGCACTAACGCTGCCACATACAACCTACCCTCTTTAGAGAGAAGACTTAAACATAAACAATATTACAAAAAACGTACAGACTCCAAAGCTATACAAACCTTTGATACGCCTAGATCATGTGACGTAAGTACGAATACCAAAGACTGGTGGAGCCCTATTCCTGAAAAGAGAGAATACCGTAATATTGGAAGAAAAACGGAAATAGATATGAAAGAAGAGATTAAGAAAGTGATCAGAATGAGACGGAAAATGGATAAAGCAATCGAAAGTAACGGCAAAGTGGTGACTTTCAAAAGCAGGACGTCAATTATTCCGAGTTTGTACTTTTCATTTCTTTTATTAGTTTGAGACTTTCAAATTATTTTAAACAAGAAATAACGTCCAGATAAGCTTTAATTAATAATAAGAAACAGTCAGCCTTAATGAAAGGTAAACACTGTCAAAAATAAATAAAAATGTGCAACAGCTTTCTAACCACCATGCATTCCATTTATTAAATTGACAATATACTCAACTTCTTATATTGCTCCTACATCCATTATTTATAAATAAACTCTTCATTTTATCAACACCGAAATTAATAAAGATTTATGTTGTGTTTGGAATAACGCTGTAAAGATAGTTATGTCGACGTCACACTCTGTTTAAGTTATTCCGGGTTTGTTTGTAGACATTTTGCTTATTCTAAGTTTATTCTTAGTGTAACATTTTATATTATATTTATTTGTACCGCCGCTAAAGGGGTATTACGGTATCATCACCCAGTGCAGAGATAAGGTGCTGCGACATCATTTTTATTAGGGTTCCGTACCCATAGGGTAAAACAGGATCTCTTGCCGTTTGGATACGGTTACTTAGACTTCGCTGTCTGGCTATATCTCATGAACCGTGAAAATTAATCAATTGTAATTTACAAAGATGATGTATTTCTGTCGCCGCTTCAACAATTACGAGGGTCAAACTGAAAGTTCTTAGAACTGGCCACTTATAAACAATATAATAAAAAAATAATTCTAAAATTTGAAAATATAACTCTTTGCCAATATTACTGAGTATATATTTCATTCATTTGTCATTTGTTTTACGATTTGGCGGCAAATTGAAAATTGTCTGTGTCACGTCATCATGAATTTAACACGAGAAAATTTTCGTGCAATGATTTTTTATGACTTTCGATGTCATTTAAGTCAACAAGAAAGTTATGATAGACTACGATTGGCCTTTCACTAAGCCCCATCTCGTGCGACTGTTTACAACTGGTTTAATGAGTTTAAACGTGGTCGCACTAATCTCACTGATGATTTACGTGAGGGACGGCCTTCTACGGCGACGACTGAAGATAACATCTGTGTTGTGCGGCGTATGATAGAGACTGACAAAAGAGTGACCTATCAACAGATTCGGACAAGCTTAGGCATCGGTATGAGTCAAGTGCACAAAATCCTCCACGAACATTTAGCGGTCAGGAAGCTTTGCGCCCGGTGGATACCTCATAATTTGACTGAGGCTCAAAAACTCCATCGTGTGGATTGGTGTCGTAAAATGATTGAAAGATTTAACGGAGGTGACTCCAATGCTGTGTTCGACATACTAACAGGTGACGAAAGCTGGATTTACTGTTATGATCCTAAAACCAAAAGACAATCTGCTCAGTGGGTGTTTCCTTTCGAGGAGTTGCCAACTAAAGTGAAGAGAGATCGAAGTGCGGGAAAAAAAATGGTGGCCTCGTTCTTTGGAAGGATAGGTCATTTTGCAACAATTGTGTTAGAGGATCAAAAAACAGTTTCTGCAGAATGGTACACTACCAATTGTTTGCCACTTGTCTTGGAAAAAGTTCGAGAGAAACGACCTCGCAGTAGGATCCTCCTTCACCACGACAACGCCTCGTCGCACACCGCCAAGCGAACGATCGACTATTTGGCGACATCAAACGTTGAATTACTGGGTCACCCGCCGTATAGCCCCGACCTCGCGCCTTGTGATTTTTATTTATTTCCAAAAATTTAAGAAAAACTTAAAGGAAAGCGGTTTATGAATGCTGAAGAAGCGGTGGCTGCGTATCGCGATGCCATTGAAGAGACCCCTAAGGACGAGTGGGCAAAGTGCTTTCCCTTCCCAGTGGCTTCCCAGTGGTTCCATCGCATGCAGCGGTGTATTGACGTGAATGGACAATATTTTGAAAAGATATAATAAAACTAATAACTGGCTAATGTAATCAGTTTTTGATTTTCTAAGAACTTTCAGTTTGACCCTCGTAATACTAAAAACCAGACTAAAATAAACATTTAACGGGCTCACATACAACAAACGTGATTATGTGGTTAGGTTCTAGTCTATCGCAGGTTAAATGAAGTACTACAAATGATTTGTTTTCTTTAGTTCCACTATTATTGCTTTTTGAAGTTCTCAAATTATAGTAATATCTATTTATATAATTAATATAATGTTCAAATTACGAGTAATTGTATTTTAATATTATTTTGACAGGTGAAGACATAATGTCGCCATATCGATATCTATTGGAGGTAATTATTAAATATTATTAAGAACAAATAGGAAAAAGCCATAAAAAAATTACAATAACATTTTTTTTCTAGTCGCAAAAATATTACAACGAATTATACACATCACCGAATGACCGCCTACGCAAATCTCCATTTCAGGTACGCAGAATTTATAAACATTTAGATTAATGTTATAATAACTTAAAAAATAATAATATTAGAAGAAACCCTTGAGTGTTTTTTGAGTGACTACATATCTTTCTATCTTTTTCCTCTACTTTCTCATATTAATGTTTTATGTATTTTCCTTTACTTGTGATACTTATTTTGTTGTTAATTACACAGCACAGATATATAATTGGACATAGCCAACGGAGTCAATCATCGCCAAGAAATCGTCAATATAATAGAAGGAGTAAGTTTTTGATGTTGTTATTTCGTCTTATACATAGTCCGATCAAATAAGACCAAAAAATAGTAGTTAGGTTAAAAAAAAATGGCACCCAGCTGAAAATTGGTAGGATTGTTCAAATGTCACAAAAACGAGGTTTTCAAAATTTTTTGCGATAAAACATGCTTTATCATAAAATTAGCTAAGACAAAAATGGTTGGTCAAGTAAGTATCTACTCGTACAAAATAAATTTGATACTTCTCCTATAAGCCACCGTTTTTTGAGTTATAACAATTCAAAAAAATTTAAGTCGGATGTTTAAATTGACCGGACTATGATGGACTATGATGATGTAAAAAACGGGCAGTATTGGAAGCTGAAATTGTGAGACATATGAAGATCAACCCTGCAATTCTGTAAAAATCCAAACCCGATTTCAAATTGACACAGGTATCCGAATTCACTTCAAAAAGCGGCACCCGTTCAACCTTGTCGTTCGTTTCGTGGAATAAGTAAAATGAGTTTTGAAATGACATAAGAATAGAATATCTGACACACGTATATTCAACCAATTTTCGTTCTTAGGAAACATGTGATCGATTTTAGTGAAAATAAAAACTGCATTCATTCATAAAAAAATAGTTCGGAAATCGAACCCGGACGTTTTGAAAAATAAAAATTTCCCTTTTTCGTTTTTTATATATTTTTAGTAGTTTCGTTACCTTTTTAGATATACATAAACGTACCATAATTTACACTTCCACATTATACTTACTACGAAATTAGTGTTAAGCCTTGCATCGACAAAGCACGACGCAGATGCAAGTGGAATCACATAATTCATAAGTATGGGTGTACCAGAATCTGACGGCAAAAAAAAAAACAAAAACAAAAAATCTTGATTTTCATATGGCAATATAAATTCTCTACTGTTGACAACTGTCAAGTCAAAGTGAAAATTGTTATAAATATTTCTGAAAATATTAACTTATTTTGTGAAAATGACCAAAAAGCCGTCTTAAGCGCGAAATATCGTTTTTAATGTTTTTAGCAAAATTTGTGAAAAAAGCTGAAGATTGACGAATTTTTTCGAGTTTAAAATATGTTTATGAATTGACCGGTAACTAATAATGACCGAGTCTTGATATATATTTGTTTAAGAATTCATTAGCAAATATTCTTTAGCGTGTCAACTACTACATTAAAATGAATTATAAGTGAAAGAGAAGATTCACAACATTACATCGAAATTAATTATTACATAGAATCGCGCCCGTAGCCTACCTAGCAGATTTGATTTAGACGTGTAAGCGTATCAGCAATTGCAATATTTGTAGAGATTAGCAATAAAGAAATACTCGTACATAAAGTAAAGCTTCTTTTATTTATCCGGTTACATTCCCAGTCAGGTAAAATAAAGGGTTTAGCCGGATACGTATGACGAGTCGGCCCCCAAATGGGAATCGATATTGAAACTTATGTTTTAATATAGACTTGATGTTCAAACACGATTTATGTACTTTTCGCGACCGACTTCCGCTTTGACCTTGAGATAGAGAGCAAAATATCCGTATGCTTGACTATTACTAAATGTGATATATCTCTGAAGCTAATTAAGATAAAGAAGTGAAACTAACGCGAGGTGTTAGGTTACATTACAGAGTATATCACATATATTTTTTTATAATTTTAAGAATAAAAAATTACATAAAAAAAATAAAAATAAAAAAAAACATGTTTTTTTTTCTGAGCTCTCTGTGACTTACAATCACGAAATTAATATATGTTATGCTCCTTTGTGTGCTCTATCACCCATAAAAATTGCGTGAAAAAAAAGTTGGTGCAACACAACGAAAAAATTATATGTGATTCGCGCCTTGTAGTGTGAGTGTATAAACAAACAAGTTCGAACTTGTTATCGAGCTGTTTACTGCATCGTTTGTTTCGCTAAAGTAGCAGCTAAACAAACGATGCAGTAAACAGCTCGAGAACAGCTCGAGAATTTGAGTCCCAAACTGCCTTCTTGTGTAATCACAAGAAGGCAGTTTGGGACTCAAATTCTGTCATAGGTATTTTGTATCAGCATTTTGAAATTATTAACTATCGAACCAAATCATTATTAAGTAATAATGTCGAGAAAGTGTAAAAATTGTAACAAGTACCTGTGTAAGATTCCTGGTTATAAAAAAATTATAAAGAATGAAGAAGAAGCTAAAGTGTTTAGTGACTTTTTGAATAAAATCGTAATAGTTAATGATATTTTTTGTAAGAAGTGTCGACTTATCCCATATATTAACAAAAAAGCTTCTACTTCTAAATGTGCAGCATTTAACTTGGCCGAAATAATGGACGATCAAAATAATCTCTCAGTACAATATGTGAAATCAGCACCTAATATCATCAAAGCAGTAGTAAAATCAAGACATATAAATAGAAAAGTCTATCGAATTTACATTCACTATATTTCCGAAGGTAATGACTACAATAGTATTCTTCGTTATTGCTGTGATTGCCCCAATGGCAAACGTACAGTGGGATGCTGTTCTCATGTAGCAGCTATTATTTATTATCTATCATA